CAAAACGCGATGCGATGTGCAGAATCAGATTGCATAGGTGTGAATACCCATGCGATCAGATTCTAGTGCGGACCCAAAAAAGGGTCCCGAACCTTTTTGGTGTGGGTACAGTGCAATTAGAGCCATACAAAATGTATGGCTGCAATCACAATGCACACAAATTGCATCGATATACTACACCACATATATGTGAACCCAGGCTTAAGGTAAAGTGGGTTCCCTCCAGGCAAAATTGGAGACTCTCAAAAAAATAACTTTAGGATCACAATATACAGAGGAACCTTGATGTAACTAAACCTTCAGTTTTTAATGTGAATTGTTCGACAGCATCAGTTTGGGTTTTTGTTTGCAGGCTGGTAAGTATGCTGGGAAATTTTGTCTGTAATGTGCATTGCCCTTCTATGTGCACCTTACTGCAAAAGCTAGTTATAAATTGAGGTGGTTTGCCATCTTTTTGTATAACTTGTTCTCAATCAATCTCTGTTGAAGGGGATGTTTTTGGTCCCTCAAAACTCTGTGGCAGGTTTGGATTGTCCCCCTGACTGTTATTGGATAAAGTTGTACCTGGACCTCATAGCAGTGGTGTTTTGCTTCAATTTAAATTTTTTTGGACATTACACTACAAGCCAAGGAGACCGTGGAGATCCTCCGAGGTGTAGAAGCCACCTACATCAACACTTTAAACAGAACTCCGGGCAAAATTGTATTTCACCATGTAGTAGAGCTGTGCCCCCACTGCATGGGTCAACTGTTCATTTTTTCTAGGTTGTGAGCACAAAGCTCATACTCATCTGACTCACTGATCCTCTGGAAAACTGCACTCCCACATGGTCCAGCAGTATACTTTTCCTGTTTATGGAGCATGCTTTGAGCATGCTGATGTTGAGAACATTCCATTTTCAAGACTGCTGGACCTGGAGGGGGTGGTGGGTGCTGGTAAAGAGTTGAAGAGACTGGTCTTGTGCGGGGAGGATCAGTGGATAAGGTAAGTACATTTCCTCTGTCCTCTCCCCTAGGACAAAACCAGCAGATAACCAGTGCAGTGCGGGCACAGCCACAAAAAAAAAAAAAAAATTGTCCCGAAGTTCTACTTTAAGATAGCAATACCAAAAAGATAGCCTTTCAGGTCCAGTGCTTTTTTCTACATGCCTCAACCAGGTCTAATTCGGGCACCTATACTGCTTGATATTAAAGTAAATAAAATGGTGTATTAAGAGCTGCATTTCTGTATGTCTTTTACAATATATCAGTGTGGAGTTCAGCTTTAACATCACCACCTGCCTGTACATTACAAAATCTAAACACGCTTAGAAATGAAACATAGTTCATTCATCATCCCTCCCGGTATACTCATATTTGCTTTTTGTACAATACCGACTCATACTACTGCAAAATACTGCAATAGAAAAATGAAATTATAGAAAAATAACAGGTATTCCTTTGATGTGCGAGTGCTGGGTTCTCTGCAATTATCACAGACCCTTTAGAGAGAGGCAGACTCTGTCACAGTCATTTGGAGAAATAGCACAGGTGCAATGCAGAAATCTGGGTTGATTAAATAAGCTGCAGTTTAGCTGCTGGAAACGGAAGGAGTAAAAAGACTGGCTTACATTCTGCAGCTTGTAAGCTGTTATGGAGAACAAAGCACTCTACCAGTAAATGTCTAAGAAGCCTGTTATGGGGCTCAAGAGGATCTCTGCGTTATGTGCTCAGCCAGTCCTAGTCCTACTCTGTGCTTTACATCTATTTTTGCCAGAAGAATGACTAAGCTGCCGGGGAATGATTGGAGCATAACAGGATGGATTCACAAAGCGTTATCTTCCCCATAGAAAACACTGCATTCTTTATCTCCCACTGTGACTGCGCCATAAATAAAAAAGTCTCCAGATGGGGTGGTTTATTTGGGCTTTGCAAATACTATGGAATCCTTGGTACCAGCATCATTCATAATGAACTCAAAGGCATGCTAGCATTGGTTTAAAGTTTTACTATCAACACCACATGTTTTGCATATATAACTCCACAGGAGTTTAGGAAATGTATGGATTATTTGCTATCAACTATTTTTAGACCAGTCTTAAAAGGATATTATATTGTCTAGGGGTCTTTTTTTCAAATCATGTTCATTTTTTATATTTTGATCATTTTTATAAAATATTATATAACATTTTCAAACAGGTTTTACCCATGACTCATGGGTTTTTTTTAGCGCATTTTGGGTTTTCTAAAAAGAAAGCATATTTTTTTTGACTGTCTCCAACAGGTAAGGTAAGGGCCCTTTCGCACAGGCGTTCCATTTGTTCATTTTCCACAGACAGCTCTTCATTCCAATTGGTTTGCTGGTGTAAACCAAAGATTCATCTGTTTATATCTGCCTATATTAGTGTCTGTTTATGTCCATTTTTCCAGCCCATTCACACGGGGCACAGACAGGCATCTCCTGTGTAGGGACATCTTTTACCACAGGGATGCACAGTTGTTGTTTGCACCCCTGTGTCAGCATCCCATTAATTTCCACTGGGACATGCAGCTGTATGGGCACAGGCACTGTGTCCTCATATAACATGCAGCTGTTATATTTTTGTTTAGTTTATCACTCATGGATTTTTTGAAGAGAGCGAGAAATGCTTTTAATATAATTGTTGAGGCCATAAAGGCCCTTTGACCTTAGGGAAATGGAACCCTGGCTGCTGGAAACATTTAAAGAGGATGGCTTTTAAGGATAGTTTGACCTCCCCTGGACTTCCCAAGCTAAGCAATAAAAGGGTCAAGACTGTTCAAGGTCAAGAAGGTGTGGAAGACCGAGAAACCTTAAAATTGTATAGTCACTAACCTCTTTGAAGATGACCCACTATCAAGCAAGTTCCCATTCTCACTTCTGATTTCAAACTTCTTCAAAGCATTGTTGATAGTATTTACCTTTTCAGCTTTAAGTCCTATGAGGACCTTGATTTGTTAGATAACTGTCTGGAACTTACGAGGTAGACAGGTGCTTAGACAATTTTATAATGTTAAGGTATTACTGGGTACTTACAATGTACCTGTGATTTGCACAGTTATGATGGAGAATGTTTCTTTTAAAAGTTGTCTAGTAAGATGTTATTTTTTAGCTCAATAAGGTTTGGCCTTTCCCAGCCAATAAATCCTTCCTCCAGTATTATTGCAAGAAAAGTCAGAGTTGCATAGGATATACAGGAGGTAAAAGGTGCTGCAATTGAATGAGCACCTATGTTTCTCAGCAGTCATGATTGTGTGTCACACAGGGTCCAGGGTTAAAGAGTTTGTGTTTCAGAGGATGCAGGGCTCAGGAATGCACATTATTATTAAGTGTTCTTGCATGGCAAGACCACTTACTGTTATCTCACATATATATTCTTATTATTATAGCCAAGTTTACCACCCTAACTCCTCCCACAGTTTTTTACACTACATAGACAGTAATATTCCAAAACGTGCGGATTGTTCCCGATTGGTGTGCTATTACTTTGTGGAACGTTTTGCCGAATGGTTCACGAAATATCGGCGTTTTTTTGGTGAAATTGGTCCCATAGGAATGAATGGCAGAATGTTCAAAACTAGAGTGTGAGCTGAAGAATCAGGACATGATTTCTAAACTGCCATCACTCCCTCATTTTCAAGCTCACCTACACAAATCGTATATCAAAACGTTCAGCTATCCCTGCTGCCACTAAAAATGTCCACTGCTAAGCCATAGTTCTGATAGTTCTCACAATATGACCAGTTTTGCAACTCACGCCGCCCATTGACATTCATTGAAACTCCACTCTAGCCACCTCAAATTTGAAGGGCAATTTCTAAACTGCGACTGTGCCTTCATTTTTAATATTTCAGAGACATACTATGCATCAAAATGTAGGTCTGGGTCTTGTGATTCTCACAATATAAAGCTCTTCGCTGTAGAATTTATAATTTTTAAAACTATGACCATTTGAAGACGCCAGTGCAGTGAGCAATTTGGAGCAGTTTGTTTTTAACTGCTCTTCTCTGCCCTATTTGAAATCTAATTTTGAATTTGTGACAGTTTGGCCGGCTTCTGGTTAAAGGTTTGGAAATAAGTTTTCTACAGTAGAGAGTATTTGAGATAATGCTGCTAATGTTTTTATAAATGTATGTTTTAATGTAACTGTGAAGCACTTTGGGCAACAACATTGCAATTAAATGTGCTATATAAATAATTAAAAGTTGAAATGCATTTCTCACTCTATCAAGCTTGCCATGTGCACTTTTTAAATTTGATCAATCAATTGGTTAGTGTAATGTTTACTATCTTTACTCTCTCCAAACACTCCACACAGTTACTCTGCTGACTCCATAAAGTTACTCTGCCCAGTCCAACCTTTTCACAGTTACTCCAGCCACTCCAACCACACAACAGTTACTCAAGACACTCCACCCAGTTACTCTGCCCACTCCAGTTGTAGACTACTGGTGGAGGCAAGAACACTTCAAACAATTTCCCCAGAAATTGTAGCTTTTCTAGTTATTATTGCACATCACACAGAGAGTAGAACACAGGAGTGTGTTGCACAGCATGCAGGGCTCAGGAGTGCTTGTTGCACTGGGCTTAAAAGTGTGTATTACACAAGGTGCTGATTGCAGGGTGTAGCACTCAAGAGTCCATATCACACAGACGTCAAGAGTGCATCTTTCCCTTTAAATCCCTCTAGCACAAAGCTCTCCCCCAAATCTGTCCCCAGTACAAAGTTCCCCCCCCCCCCCCCCCAGTACAAAGTTCTCCCCCAAATCTGCCCTCCAGTACAGAGCTCTCCTCCCTAATTCTCTTCCATCACAGAGCCCTCCCTCTTAATCCCCCTAGTACAAAGCTCTCCTCCCAACACAGACCTCTCCCTTCAAATCCTTCCTAGTGCAGAAAGGAGTTCAGTGAGTAGAGGCTAAAGGCAGCAAACTGTACCAGTATAGGTTGTACGACAGACTCCCAGTTCAGGATGATCTGGATCAGCAAGAAGAGGCCATGGCCCAGGGGTGGACTGACCATTCGAGCACTCGGGCACTGCCCTAGGGCCTGGGGTCAGTAGGGGGCCCCATGAACTGCCCCTGGTACCTTTTATAGGCTTTTTTGGGTGTTCTTTTTAGTGTGGGCAAGGACAAGGGGCCCCATGATCCGCTATTGCCCAGGGGCCCCATGAGTTGTCAGTCTGCCCCTGCCATGGCCCATGGGGCTGGGCAACTGGATGACCAGGGAAGAGGAGGGCTCTCATGGATTGTCAAGCCATTTCTTTCTTGTATTCTTGCTATTTGTAAATGACCATTAGGATGCTTAGTTGCTCTGCACATAGGACCAGTGCCAGTATCAGTGTCAGTACTGGCATGATCTAGCTGAAAAAAATACCTCACTTGCATATTTCTATCAAACATTTGCATAAAAAGAGATTCCTGGTTTACATACATTGCAGTACATGTTCAAGCTGGCCAACTGCATCAAAGGGATCACTCTTTGGCCAGGAATATTTTATTAGTAAACAATTTTCAGTGGATTTCTTTGTCTGTACAAAGAGAAAATAATGCTATAGTACATTGTACATTTTTTCACTTTTTATTAAATTGTCAGCCTACAAGAATACATAGGAGCTAATAATTTATTAAAATAAAAAATCAATGGAAAAATAATGGAAGTATTCAATTTAGTCATGGAGTTATTGTCGAGTTAAAGTGAAACTTCACTATGTCAATCAACATTGATTACTTTGAATCCTTATGCTGCTAGGATTAGCAAATAGATAGGAAAGTATATCATTTTACTTGTTTTAAACTGTTTTTACATTTCTTTAGTTACTTCTTGGTTTCCATGCCTAGGCAAATTATGTCAAACTTCCCAAGAGTCTTTGGGAGGGGAGGAGGGGTTTTCTCAGCTAAGCAAACCCTCCTGTCTTCATCAGGGGTGTATTTACCATAAGGCAAACAAGGCAGTTGCCTAGGGAAGCATTTTTCAGGGGGGCAGCACTGAAGCATGGGGACCACGTGGGAGCCGAGAGAGGCTGCAGTCTGCTTGTTGGTGTATGCAGAGCTGACTCTCATTCCCATGGATGTCCAGAGCTGTAAAGGTGCGTGACTTTATCTCCAGGTGGGGGGGGGGCAGGGGTGTTGTTGGTCAATGTCAGGCTCTACACCAGTGGTCTTTATGCCTGAGTTAAGGGCAGATGGATTCCAGAAAGTAAATGCTACATGAATCATCTGCCCTTACTCAAGATGGCTACGATCAGCAATGCTAGGGGGTGATTTTCTAAGTGATTTCTCAGCAAAATAAAGCATGTAGACATGGATAAATGGGAGAGTTTGCTTTGCATATTAAAAATTAAATAGCACTTTTGGTTTGTGGTGCTCAGATACAGTTTAGTTCCGTTTTAACCAGAGCCTACTGATAATGTTAGATTTGGTCTGGGTGTCTAGGCATCAATGAGCTCTGATTGTGAAAGCGTTAAATAATATGTTCTTTTTCTTATAGCCAGGGCAACGGGTGGCATTATAAAAATTTTATGTGTAAAGAATTTTCCTTTCCCGCTCATATGAATGCCCCATTGCTTTTCCCAGCAGGTTTTCTCCTATTACAACACTGAGATTACAACTTGGGATTTTAAAAGGCAGACCCTTCCACTTAGCACACAAGAAGCAAAGAGTTATTGGGCGGTATGGTATATTATGTATATTTTCATCTTTTATTAACTATAGCCAGGACTAAAAAATCTGTTCAGAAAAAAAATATATTTTTTTAAGACAGGCAAATATAAAATATGACAGATGAATGGGGAGGTTAACCCAAGAACAAAAATTGTACACATTTTAGCCTATGCATGCCTAGATGTGGTAGCTGAGATAGTATACTCTTTTTCAGTCTTTTTATTTTCTTGTGACAATGTTCACTTGCTGTACTATATCTATGGAAAACCATTATTGTCACTCTAGAAGAGGAAGTCTGTTAGGACTCTAGAATACACCCCCCTCTCCTCATTTCCATAACATAAGAGGAAGTGTTCTGTAGTCCAATGGAGAACTGACCAGTGCTGATAATACTGCTTGAGATTTCAGCTTAGTAGATTCATAGGGCACAGAAAATTAGGATGTACCTGATTTCTGGCAGATCATAGGTATTTTTTCTACTTGTCAATCTGCCAGCATTTAAAAAAAAAAATAAAGCATAGAAATTGTGTCCTCCCTCCCCCTCCCTCCCTCCCTTCCTGTAATCTTTTGGGACATGTGACAGGTCCCAGAAGACTACAGGACCATTCATGAAGTGCAGCGCTACTCGCGCATGCGCAGTGGGTACCTGGCTGTGAATCCGCAAGCTATCACAGCCGGGTGCCCACACTGAAGATGCCGGCCTCCTGGAATCCAGGACGGCAGGTGAAATGGGCTGCAGGGGACACACCGAGGGACAGGTAAGTGGCTGTTTTTTAAAAGTCAGCAGCTACAGTTTTTGTAGCTGCTGACTTTTATTTTTTTGACAGGTGAGTGGAACTCCACTTTAACTTCATAAGGGCTGTCTACTGTCTTTTTACTGCTGATGGACTGGATCACGTAGATGTACATGATCCAGCATTTCTGAGTATATTGTGCACATGCGAGCACTCCCTGCCCAATCTGTGCTGTAATTCAGTACAGCACAAGTCAGCCAGCAGGTCCTAATTAATGATTTATGGGAGGGACCTGCTGATTGGCTTAGCGAATCACAGCACAGAGCCCTGTGTTTATTAACAAGTCTGAAGTTTGAAGCCTTTCTGGCCATACTGACAGCCAACCTAACTAGACCAACATTTTACATACACTCACCGGCCACTTTTTTAGGTACACCTTGCTAGTGCCGGGTTGGATCCCCTTTTGCCTAAATTCTTCATGGCATAGATTCAATAAAATGTTGGTCCTTATTGACATGAGTTACTGTTGCTTTTCTATCATCTCGAACCAGTCTGCCCATTCTCTTCTACCTTTGACATCAACAAGGCATTTTCGTCCACACAACTGCCACTCACTGGATATTTTCTCTTTTTCGGACCATTCTTTGTAAACCCTAGAGATAATTATTTGTGAAAATCACAGTAGATCAGTATTTTTTTAAATACTCAGACCAGCCCATCTGGCACCAACAACCATGCCAGGTTCAAAGTCTTCCCCATTCTGAAGGTCAGTTTGAACTTCAGCAAGTCATCTTCACCCCGTCTAGATGCCTAAATGCATTGAGTTGCTGCCATGTGATTGGCTGATTAGCAGTTTGTGTTAACAAGCAATTGAACAGGTGTACCTAATAAAGTGACCAGTGAGTGCATATGCTAATTGAAAAACTTGTAGCAAGGTTGATGTTGTTAGAACGGGTGGAGGGCCTGCCCACACCAAGCTGAAAGACCAATTATCCAGGAGGTTGGATAATGCTTTCTGACCATGTTAAACAGAATCAAACCCATGCAAGGGTAAACGTCTATGTTTGCTTTTTTGTTGACAAAAATAAACATGGTCAAGCCCTAAAATGTACTCTACAAGGTGGACATAATGCTTGAGATGCTCGCTATTTGATCCTGATCTTTATAACCTATAGTCCTCTGGGACCCTCTACTATCTCTAGCTAGTGAACATGTATCTGGACTTTTGCTTTACCTGAAGTGACCAGAATGACCCACACCGACTTGGTACACACCCAAGCACTCAGAGGGCTGTGGGCTGTTGTTAAAAATTGATGCATAAATTGTTTAACCACTTGCCCTTCAGTGGATTTACACCCCTTCCTGACCAAGCCATTCTTTGTGTTATGGCACTGCGTTACTTTAACTAAAAATTGCATGGTCATGCAACGAATGAAAACTAAAACTAGATAAATGAAACCTATGTAATTGCGCTAAAAAAAAAAGACTGAGAATTTTGAAAAAACAAACAAACAATATTTTTGACTTTTTGCTATAAAACATATCCAGTAAAAAATGTAACAAAATCAAACTTCTTCATAAATTTAGGCCAAAATATATTTTGCTACATTTCTTTGCTAAAAATAATCCCAATACATGTAAATTAATTGGTTTTATGTGTAAGTTATAGCGTCTATAAATAGCGATATATATACTGGAATTTTAACTTTTTTTAAATACTAGTAGCTGTGGCAATGAGCGACTTATAGCAGGAATGTAGGACTGCGGCGGGCATTCTGACACTGGGTGGGAACTGACATCCCAATGACACTAATACAGTGATCAGTGCTAATAAAAAGCATTGACACTGTACTAATGACACTGGACAGCAAGGGTTAACATCTGGGTGATCAAAAGGTTAACTGTGTGCTGTTTTACATTGTGTGCTGTGTGTGTTTTACTATGGAGACATGTCCTTGCTGGCAGGAGAGTGACCTGTTTACACACAGGTCTCTCCCCTGTCAGCTTTCCACGATGATCGACAGGTGCCGGTGGAGAATCTCCGTCTGGCACCCGTGATTGACATCTCTAGCCACCAATAACGGCATGGGTAGTGCGGTGCACACACACACGCTCCCTTACCTGGAGATGCAAATCATGGATATATATACGTGATTTTTCCCAGCCCTGCCGCACTGTAGCAGAACTTCTACTATAGAAACAATATAAGTGGAGCGCTACAAACAAACAATGTCCAAATAGCAATGAAATATACGATCGTCAAATATAAGAATGTTAAAGATGATAGACAGTTCAATGATGGGGGACTCGCAGGGAGTATGGGTGTTAACCAATCCCAGGAATAGATAAATTGCCTGCTTACCAGAAGCGCAATTAAAATGCGCATGTACTGTTTCATGTAGCCGGGGTCCCATGTAGGCGCTGCTTTATAGTACCCAGATGGTCCGTCGGTGGGGAGACGATACTGGCCTGGTCGGATCACACTGCTCCTTGGATCCACACAGAGAACCTGGCTGGGGCTGAGGTATGGGAACTCAGTGTCAGGTGTAAGGAGTAAAAATACTCATAGTGTAGTATGTTTAAAAATATTTATTAAACCCAATACGTAAAACGATAGGAATTACAAAACACATGCCTGCAGCCTGTAGCCAGTATAAGCAGCTTGAAAAAAATGATTCTATACACTGACCAGTGAAAACCATAGGTGGGCCGCCGGACCTCCTGACCCGGCGGCGTAACGTCAAGGCGTGCGAAGGCTCCTCGTAGACGTGTTTCGTGTCAATACACATCTACTGTAGGGGTGATGCCATGGCATCACCCGACGGACCATCTGGGTACTATAAAGCAGCGCCTACATGGGACCCCCGGCTACATGAAACCTGTACATGCGCATTTTAATTGCGCTTCTGGTAAGCAGGCAATTTATCTATTCCTGGGATTGGATTACACCCATACTCCCTGCGAGTCCCCCATCATTGAACTGTCTATCATCTTTAACATTCTTATATTTGACGATCGTATATTTCATTGCTATTTGGACATTGTTTGTTTGTATCACTTATATTGTTTCTATTTTGGTTGGAAGGGCTTGTAGTTCCTTTTTGTGCATTTGCCGCTCACTGGAGTGCCTCACTTTTCCTTATTTCACACAGTACTTCTACTATAGGGTGGCGTGCAAGTGGTTAAAAAAAAAAAAAATCGGGAAACAGAATGGTTTGAGTTTCAACAAAATACTTTTTTGTGATGAGCTTCTACGGCACATGGAACATTACCAAATTTATACTATAACAATATCACACTGCTATTCCACATGCACAATTTTCTGTTTTAGTAAAAGGTACTTTTCTTTTTCTCGGAGGGAAAAGTTTAATTCAATACTTGAGCTAAACTTTAATAAGCAGTAAGCAGGAATATTCAAGGCAAACTGCACCTTCCCAGGTTTCAATATTCCGTTCTCATGTTACCCTTATGGAGTATGCACGCACTTCAGTAAATTGCCTCTTAGTATGCATCGGTGTGTACAATCTCTGGCTGACCATAGCAAAACATTCATCATCCGCTGACTCTTAATGTACCTTTTCACTTTACAGATATTGATTACATACTTTTTGTTGAGTGCATACTTTGTTGAATGGTGCTGTAACAAGTTGAAGTCTTATTAGTGCTAATCCCCAGCCTCTCCAGGCTGCCGTATGCAGTCAATAATCAACATGCACTTCCACGGGGACAAAATACAAGCGAGATGGCTGAGAAGCCACTGGAAATAAAAAATCTGTTTTTAAAGCTTTACCAGTTAGTTAACTATACGTTTGTAGCCTAAGAAAAATGAAATAGTGTCATTAAAGGAGAGAAAGGCACCCATTAGGTTTTGTACACCTGAGAATAGACCACAGTACACCAGACTAATTTAAAATGTTGTAATTTTCCAAATAGTCTGAGTCGTCTACTTAAGGATAATCCTGAAAACTCCTACAGACGTGACTGCACAGAGCATTGGAAGCCTAAAGAGTAAAACAGTGAGTGTTACAGTGATTGTATCTAATATGTTTTGAGAAATATGGTTCTTCAGGGGAAGCTACAATGGTCTTGGTCAGTTTTATTCATTTTTTTACCTAAAAAAGATTTTTTTAAAATATTTTCACTATATATTATCAATCTTTGGTTTATAAATAAATATTGAATACTCAACAATAGATTTTTTCCAGAGAAATATGGATAAAACAATCACGAAATTGTAAGAAAAATACTGCTTTCAAAGCAATCGTACGATCGTTGGTACACAGCTTTCGTCCGAAAATATTTTGAAGGGACAAACACAAACATTTTTCTCATATGATACCACATTGCATGATTTTCGTTTATTCAGAAAAGTTTTTATCTGAAAATACAATACAATACATTACATCACTTCCGAATTTGAATTCTGTTGTGCAAGAATTTTTTTAACTTTAGTAACCTATTCGTTTTTCGATATGGAGACTAGCATGCAAAAAAAACAAAACACAGACGATCGTTCATCCGATATACACATCTTATGTACGGGGCTTTGGCTAAGGAGAAAGATAAGCAGAAGATGCCTATCTTGAAGATAGTATTGTTTGACTTCAACCTTGGAGCAAGCCAAATGATGGGGATGAGTCACTGCTGAGATTAATTCACATCTGTGTACATATTTATCTTGAGCTATTGAGCTTTGCAAACAAAAGGTTTTTTTTTTTTTTTTTTACAACAGGTGATAGGTATATAGAGGAAAACATAAAAAAGAGCTGAAAGCTCCAGTGTCTGAAAAAAAGTAATACAAAGAAGAATGCTAAAGTATTAATATGCAAAGTTCCTCTATCTGACAAAAAAAAGAAAGGAAAAGTATCTGCTGAACAAGAATAAATAAATAAAATATATAAAAACCACTATAAATTCCTTTCAAGTAGTGAATATAGTAAAATATAGTAGTAGCAGCTCAACACATAAATAAATGTTTCTCTAACTAGGAATAGCAGTTGATGCCATTATAGGACAATTTAACTTTTGAAGCTGGGTAGCTGTACTCATGGTGGAATAATACTTGCCTTCCTCACCAATCCAGTCTCCAGTGGTCCTGGTCCTGGACTGGATTGGGGAGGAAGGCAAGTATTATTCCAGGTGGGCTACGCTCAAGGAGGAAGAGGGGGAATTTATCATTTATCAAAGGACAACTCCAGTAAACACATGAGCTCTGGAAGATTTTACCCCCTTCATGACCAGGCCGTTTTTTGCTGTTGACACTGCACTACTTTAACTAGTAATTGATAATTAACTGGAAAAAAAAATAAACATCTTTTATAAAGTCTTTGTTTCATTTGTAAATAACTTTGCAATGCTTTGTACCAGAATCAAAGTTATGTAAAGTGTCATTTTAAACAGGACAAATATGACAGTATACATTAAAATGTATACTTTTTATCTACAGTAACCCTATTTTTGAAGGTAAGATTGATTAATAAAAAAAATTATGAGATAGAAAATAGTTTTTTACAAAAAATAAAATAACTTTTGCAAGAAAATATCAACAAAAGAAAGCCTGAAAAAACATTATGTGTATTATTACTTTGTTATATTAATAGGTGGCAATTATTTTAGAATAAATTAACCCAAAGAAAAAAATGGATCTGGTCCATAGAGTGTGTACAGGTGTGAGAGCAAAAGTTTTAAGGATCTGCCCCATCAGCAGTAACATACAACATAATAGAGAGTTTCCAATAACAAACATGATTCACCCATCACATTTTCATTTATCAAAATTCACCCATCAGCTGTCACAATCAACTGCTGTGTGTAAATTGGCAGCCGATGGGTAAATCTTGGTTCTTATTGTATTCTTTCTAATATGTTACATGTGACTGTTGGTAGTTGAGTCTTGTCTAATTTAAATATGCTGTATGCGACTGTTCACAAGGGGAATTGTTAAATGCGGTGGACAAATCCTCTTTGAATTGATGGGTGAATAGGGCAAATCTTCTTTGAAAATGATGAGCAAATTCTGTAAAATATAGACAAATGTCCAGCAAACATTCTCTGTATGAATTGCACTGTGTATCATTAATAAACAAACCCTATTACCAGGGGCGGACTGACCATTTAAAAACTCGGGCACTGCCCAAGAGCCCGGGGTCAGTAGGGGGCCCCATGAGATGCCCCTGGTACCTTTTTCATAGGCTTTTTTGATTTTGGGCAAGGACACAGGGGCCCCATGATCCCCTATTGCCCGGGGACCCCATGAGTTGTCAGTCCGCCCCTGACTATTACACTATAGAAGCAAGGCTTGGCTCTAATGGATACATAATGGAGTGAGCCCTCTTTCAAAGGAGCTAATACAAAATGAAGGTACAGAGCATATGGACCTTTTTTCAGTCCCAGACTGCTACAGAAAGTAACATAAAGAATGCTCAGCAGATGACAAACTCTGAGGTGGTTATTGAGGAGCATAGTTTCATAACATGTTTATGAAATTCCAAAAGTTCTTCTTATTTTTTTTTTAATCTACAGCTTTCATTAAAATAATACTTGGCGATCCTGGCAAAAAGGTACGTGTTCAGGCACTTCCTGTTGGGGAATGATAAGTCTCCCAGTTCTGCTTCCGCATTGTCACCATGTCCACATCTGCTTTATGTGGAAACAACAGTGAGAAAGCAGGGCATAGGCATGGTCCACTATTGTCATTGTCAGGAAGCCAATCCTTGAAAGATATTGGCAGTTCAAGCTGAAGCAAGTGCATATAGGCAGGAAGGGGTTGTAGAATGGAGGGAGTACTTATTTTAAATGATTTCAAAATGAACAAATATTGTGGTCAGGCAGATGAAAAATTGAGTAGTATTTTCAATATGAAACCAAGATCAAGGACACAGGGGCATGACCTCAAACTAACAAGAGGAAAGTTCAAAACTAATATTAGAAAATATTATTTTGCTGAAAGGGTAGTTGATGCTTGGAATTGACTTCCAGCCAGAGGTAGTGGGTCAGTCAACAGCAAAAACAGTGAAAAACAGGGGCCTGGGCGCTAAGGTGAATGATAGGCGGGTTTTGATAATCAGTTTGTTGCATGAATTGCAAAACAAGGCAGCTCACATCATCATTTGAAAAGATGAAGAGAAGAAGTACAAATGTATAAGGGATATGGGGGCACTGGATCACTGGGGAGGATGCTGCTGTCGCACCAGAAGTGCGCTGGTAAGCTTGGATGAAGAGAAGAGCTTTGATAGAGTCCACTGGGGCTATCTCTCACAAGCCCTGAATACATTTATGCATGATAGGCCAAATTTATGCAGGACTTGTGAGAGATAGTACCAGTGTCCTTTCTCTTCATCCAAGCTTACCAGCGCACTTCCGATGTGATGGTGGCATCCTCCCCAGTGATCCACTGCTGGCAACCTACCATCCTTTCAGATTGACATCACCAGGGTGAAGAGTCATCAAGGCAATTCAAGCGTCTGTACAATCTCATGTAAGGTTTGTGACCTTATGTGAAAAACAACAATACAACCTCCTGCACTCAGGTGCAGTGCTTAGGAGTGTAGTCCACCTGTCTGGCCTGTTGGTATGTTGCTGAAGGTCTTCCTGCCCTCTCAGGACTGTGGACGTCCTCCCTGAACTGGAAATAATGAAAAAAAGAGGGCACAAAGACCTAGTGCATTACCAAAAAAACATGTATGAAAGGATATACTGTATATACAAAGTAGGTCATCAACTTACAAACAGATGTAAGAACAAACATGTAACGGGATGCAGCCGAGACTGTCTCAAGGTACTAAGCCAGTGGTATACGAAGTCTGCTTAGTGTCCAAAGGTTTACACGTTCCAAGGGACAAACCCACGTCTTCAGAGGCAAAGCACCAAGTCCAAAAAATGGTACTCTGAAGAAGAGGGTTCGTCCCTCGAAACACATAAGCCTTTTGGACGCTACGCAGACTTCCCATACCACTGGCTGGTACCATGGACCTTGAAGAGGTCTCGTCTGCATTCCATTACATGCTTGTTCTTACATGTGTTTGAGTAGATTACCTACTTTTTATATATCCTTTAATATATGATGTTTTTGGTAATGCACTAGGTTGGTGCACCCTCTCTTCTTTCATTATGACCTTATTCACCAGTGCTTTTAATACTTGCTTCACTTCAATAAATGTATCATATATATTTTACCTTCATTTACTCTTCAGGTGGACAAAATTGTTTTATTGTGGACTCTAATCCCTGGCGCTCCTTATACATTTGTACGTCTATAGTCAACAGTAAGTGGCTTCAAACAGATCTAAACTCAGACAAGAAAGTTAACAAAAAATGTACAAATTAAAGAACTAAAGGATGAAAAAGTGAGAACAGGTTTTTTTTTTTTTATGACAATTGTTTATGATATAGTGCTTTAGCAAACAAAATTTTCTCCAATTTTGGTTTAGATGGTGCTTACAACCTCCAACATTAGATAGCTGAGCATGGTCCTATTCCAGCAAATGATGCAACTATATTAAGCACTACTAAAGGTATTTGGAGAATGAATTGCATTGCAATGTGTCATCACCAACTTTAAGCCTTGGGCCTATGAAAAGAATTCAGTCTGTGTTCCCAATACAGGATCCAGGATTGTTCTCTTGCTCTTTAAACACTGGTATACTCCGTTGGGCCAATTATACTTGTTAATACAATGGGTTGCAGAGACTGCTACGATGAGAACAAGCAAAGTGAGACTGACTATCGTAAAGATCGATGTGGAGCATAGGATAATCAGGAATTGGGAAAGGAACCAAGAATTTGTCCTATCTGAAGGCCTGAGGATAACATTGCACAGTCAGTATATGGCTGAAATAAAAGAGTCAAGAAAAAACGTTTTTCAAAATAACACATCTAGAAATATTTTCATGTATTCCTGCTGAGGGGTGGCAGCCATCAGGTTAAAACTCAATGTAATTGCTGCTTGATCCCTTCCATTAATACAGCACAACTGCTTTTTCTATTCACTTCAATCATCCGTCTCCTTCGGCATAAGAAAGTGTTTAAATCCCCGGCTGCTGGAAATGGGCTTCCTGCCCTCCAATAAAGAGGTTAATTCAGCTCGTCTTGCTGCAATTTTAATTTTAATCTTTGATGAAAGCAGAACATGCAAATTAAAACAATGTATTCTTTTGAATTTAATATCCAAGTGAGCTTTATAAATGGAACAAAAGGACTTGTATTATTATTCTCAAGCTGTTCAAGAGAAAGTGAATTGTCGTGTGGTTTAAATGGGTGACAGGGAATGGTGTGGGCTGAAACCAATAGGAAATACATGCCAGAGCTTCTAATGTCTCTAGATTACAGTATTTTCAAATCTGCCTAGTTGAGCTGCCGGTTTAATCTTTTCTTCACCAAACAACATTATGTTCAGCAGCGTACTGTATTAAGAGAAAGAATGGGAGAATTGTACCAGAGTTTCCTGAGATAATTATGAATATTCGAGCATCTAATTAAGAATGTTGCCTTTTATAAATAAATCATTGGAATGCCCATGCATCTCCTGTTTGTTATTCAAATTCTCCCGTTCCTAGGCTCTAGCGCTATTATTTATTCATGCAATAACATGAATTTCTTGCTGTGTTGCTTTGTTATGTAAGCACAGTGGAAATTCTGTAAAATAAATGTTGTCTTGAACAGTGGTGTCTTGGTAGAAGCTCAGCCAGGCGCATTTTGGATTATGGAGGTAATACATATAGGTTACTGTTGCATAAAAGATTTTTAAAGGGCTTTGCCACTGTCATCAGGAAAAGTGGAACTTCAAGCAACAGAGGGGGACAACATTGGACCCAACGCTGTCAAGTGTTTAAGAACAGCCATATAGTGACAATAGATCTTGCAATTATTTTTACTTGTGTTTGACTTACAGATGAAGCCCTTCATTAGGAAACCTGTTTACTTGGGAGAATTATTTTGAGTGGTTTAGATGGTCATCATCAAAAAGTACAAAAAATATGTTTTGCTTTGCCACTGTCGTCAGGAAAAGTGGAACTTCAAGCAACAGAGATGGACAACATTGGACCTAACGCTGTCAAGTGTTTAATAGGAGCCGTATAGTGACAATAGATCTGCAATTATTTTTACTTGATGTTTGACTCACAGATGAAGCCCTTCATTAGGATACCTGTTCACTTGGGATAATTATTTTGAGTGGTTTAGATGTCATCACCAAAATGAACAGAAAATACATAGAGATTCTTTATTTGGATTTGGAAAACAAATGTAGATAAACTCCAAATGACCCAAATTTTTCAGACTGCTAGGCTTCTGTTGGCAAAGCTACATTTTGGCTCAGAAACCCCTGAGTGGTTTTGTTCTGATGTGCCTGAAATATTTGAAGTCTGTTGGCTTTTGGCACAAGGTGTCTTAATGTACATCTAAAACCAAGAACACAAATTTAATATATTGCAACTTACCAGTTCTTAGATGTGGGGGCTGCATCTGTTTTCTTTTGTCAGGCTAAATACATTTTCTGCAAGTGCAAAAATATAACTTGGGGATCTCAAAAAATGTCAACAGCCTTTTCAGTTCTCTTCTGTGAACTACAGTATAGCTACCCCCTATATAAGTGGTCTCCAAACTGCAGCCCTCAGGCCAAATGTGGCCCTTTACTAACTTTTATCCTGCCTTTGGGGTACTGTTCCTCCCACTGACAACATTGATGAGGCACAGTTATTTCCACACCAACAATGGAGCACTATTCCTCCCAGTGACACCAATGATGGGGCATTCTTTCTACTAACACTAATGATAAGGTACTATTTCTCCCACTTGGGAGCTATTCCTACGATGAATGCCAATGAAGGGGAATGATTCTTTCTACTAATACCAATGATAGGGCACTATTTCTCCCATATATGAATGCTGGGGCACTGTTCCTCCCAGTTATACCAATGATGGAAATCCCTCCTCCTACTGGCTACAGGAACTATGTAATTGTTTTTACTCCCACTGACTACCAAGCCCAAGACATTGTTTATTCCCACTGGCCACAGTTCGGCCCCTCTAAAGTCTGAAGGAAAGTAAACTGACCCTTTGCTTAGAAAGTTTGGAGACCCCTGTCCTATATTATGACAGTGAGGAGAGGAGGAAGTTTTTGTACTCCAAATCAGGAGAGCAGCCTAGGGTGGCAACAACACATCTCCATAAACACTGTAAAGTAAGTGAGCATTACTACCAAAAGACAGAAAGTATGTTACTGACAAGATTATCAAGTGAAAAAAAAGGAAAACATTAAAACTAATACAGTCCCTTAATCTTAAGACTGGTAAGCTGCAGTGTATTAAATATATAGAAATATAGAAGAGTGATGACAGAAAAATAACAAATGG